CTCACATATTGCATGTGTGTTTGTACTATCTCACATATTGCATGTGTGTTTGTACAATGTCACAGATAATTTGAAATGTCTAATAACGTGATTTCGCTCACAAAAGTCTATTTGATTGCCTGGTCTATTCTAGCTTATATGTGGACGGTGGAAGAATCGATGGGACGGGAATACCGGTTTGTACTGGTTCTGAAGACAAATCATCCTGCGTCACTACTAATTTTTACACTGGATTCATGTCAGATTTAGCGCAGCTGGCAGCGGTAGGCTATGGCGATCTGTGGATGGAGGAGAGCGCCAGCTACGCCGTAATTGACAGCGTAAAGGATTTCAATGCTGTGAGTATTATTCAGTTTTAACCCGGCATATCACGTAGATTGACATTTCGGGATTATTTTAACGCAGAAACCGATTCACCACGTTTAAAAAAATCTGTTCATAAATCATTTGACTGTATTCATTTGAATTATGTACAATCATTGAACCGTAGGTCTATTGGAACACGAAATAAACATTATTTCGTGTGTTACAGTTCCACTTTTTGAGAAAGTTAATAAATTCTTGATTCTTGAAATAATTCAGGATTACTAAAAGTTTGTTGTGGAATAGAGCAGACTATAAATGGAACTATTTTGTGGTTGGTGCCTGAAGTTGACTTTTGCTTTCAAAAGATTAAAGCGGGAGGGTCTTCATCTGCGCGTGCGCGGGAATTGAGTCCCAAGCGACAATAACAACACACACTAAAAACGCAAAGGCTAATAGGTAGACGCTTGTTTGTAAACAATGACACGCTATGGCCATCTGACGCATGCGCAGGTGATGCCTCCCGATTTCATTTTAAACTGCAGTTCATGATTGTAATAATATGCACTCTCTCTTGTCTGTATAATTGTAATAATTTAATTTAATCGATTTAATTTTATCAATAGGGCTTTATCACCGAGATATCACCAATCAAACAGATTCGATCAAGAAAGAACGTACGAGAACAAGAATCCATACAGAATGTACAGGTAAGTTATGACGTCGTTCGTTTGCTAATGTGCGTGGTAACAGATTAAAGCGCGTGGGAATATTTGTTTTCATAATACAACATTAAAATTCAAACAATTTAATTAATTTTCTCTAAATCGCGCCCTCTGTCGGAGGGACGTTTCTGTGACGTCAACGTTACGTACAAAAATACCAAAGCACTGTCATTTATAACGGAAACTGTTTTTTTTCTATAGTTGCTTAAAAACTAAATGTTTTTTTTATTGATGACCAACCAGAGATATATGAACAATATCGACACTTATTTGAACGACATTTATATGAACGACACTTACTTTATATTCATTTAATAGAAACGGTGTATCAACATTTTTTTTCGTTGCAGATTCGAGATTCTGTGGCAGTGTGCGCATTCATGCAGTGGTTGGAAAACGAAATGAAATCTGGAAACAATCCGACCGAACTATCAGCCATGGGCAAACTGAAGTACTTCAGAGAGTAAGTTTACAATAAAAAGGGCGCTTTTATCAATTATACCAAATAATGGATAGTATTACTGACACCAGTAATTACCAGGCATCATGGTAAATGCCCCAATGCATTATTCGCTGAAAACAAAAATAATTCTACGGTGTAGTAATGCGCACTCGAACAATCAGCGTGTAGTGTTTTCATTGGGTGTTTCAAGAACATATTTCGCCATTTTTCATTTAATTGATTTTCTTATGTTGAATCATTAATTTTTATTTCATTATTTTCTATTTTTATGCTGAATTGCGATCCAGTAATGCCTGGCATATATGTCTTATTTGACTTGGACGCGGTCGAATGAATTTCACTATTTAACTTTGTCAATATAATTCTTCTACAGAAAGTCTGAAAATTACAGAGGGGATAGCATTCCCCCAATATCTGCATATGGAAGTCACGCTGCCACTATTGATCACACGTAAGTACGCCTATGTATACTCAAAGAAATGGTAAATTGATAAGTGAGTATAATGTCGATGTACTCTCTCGCCTTCGCCTCGAACAGCATCTAATGTTTCAGACGTAATAGTTTTTTCTCTACATAAAACGATACTTTTTTTTTGTTTTTTGTTTTTTTATTCATTATGCAAAAATTACAAATTACCGACAAAGCAACAATAAAAGAAAACAGAAAAACATTTACAGATCATAATATTCAATAAAAGGCCCCCACTTCTTTAGAAACTTTGTTCTTCTGTTCTGAGCTTTCGCAATGATACTTTCCAGATCAATGGTTTGTTTTACACAGGATTTGAAACCTACAATGTTTGGCATAATGTGTTGCAACTTGCATTTAA